GACCATTTGAATTTTATATGGATGAAGATTGAGATCTTTATGGAAAATTCGAAGGAAAGATGCCTTACAAATTCTTAACGCTTGGGCTCGTTTTCGGGTTGAACGTTTTGGATTGTGTCTTACAGATATTCTCACACGATCGATGCTTTCAGGCGTTCGTACACTTTTCCTTGGTCCCTTATGTTTGACATTGACAGCTGAACCTCTTTGTTCAAATTTACGAACCAATTCCTTTATATCATGAGCCGACTGCACGTTGCTCCATGATTACCAAATGACATACAGTGACAGATAATTTCAAAAAACAATCCATGGCCAACTATGCGTAGTTACGGGATAACAACATTATCAAAACTTCCCGCTCTCGGAGACCACCTTGTATTTTTGTAACGCATTAAACAGCCGGTCAATGCTCCGATTTTATACTAAGTGACATAAATCCGAACACCCAGTTTAAATGGTTTTATTTTAATAAAAGTTGGTGAATGTATTTATCTTACTGTAAATAACAAGTGAAAAAATTTTCTTTTTTTTAACTCACTAACGCTCTAAAAATGAATATTACAGCCACAGTAAAGAATCAACGTTGGCGGATTTTGGTTCTTGACATCCTTTACGATCGGTTACGATGCCTAGAATACGGAGACCTGTACGATTTCGTCAACTTAGTGAGTTTGATAGGGGCCGTATAGTGGGACTTCGGGAAGCTGGACTTTCTTTTCGGGCAATTGCAGTTAGAGTGCAAAGAAATGTAGACACTGTGGTTAGGTGTTGTCAGGCATGGCTTCGAGAAGGCCGTACGCAAAGAACAAGGGGCACTGGACGCCGCCGTAGAACAACAGACCGTGAAGATCGATGCCTAAGGTTATTGGCCTTAAGGGACCGTTTCTCCACTACCAGGTCCATTGCAAATGAATGGTTTGCAGAACACGGAAGACCTATTGGCATGCGAAGTGTTTACCGACGAATGAGAAGTTTTGGCTTGTTTTCATACCGGCCACACTGAGTCCTCCCTTTAACTCGAGAACACCGACGTAATCGCCTTGAGTGGTGCAGACAACGGTCACTCTGGGATCAGGAATGGAACAGTATTGTCTTTAGTGAGGAGTCTCGATTTTGTTTAGGCATGCACGATGGTCGTGCCAGGGTTAGAAGGCGACGTGGTGAAAGGAGGAATCCACAGTTTTTTGTTGAAAGACATGTTCATCACACTCTTGGAGTTATGAACTTTCCAACAAGATAATGCCCGACCACATGTTGCAAGAGTCACAATAGACTTCTTTCAACATAATGATGTCACACTGTTACCATGGCCACCAAGATCTCGCGACTTATCCCCAATTGAGCACGTGTGGGATATGATGGGTAGGAGATTGCTCAATTTGCAACGTCCTCCTCAGACTCTAGAAGCACTTCGAGTGGAGTTGATGGTTGCCTGGAATGAGATACCACAAGAGGACATTGACCACCTGATCAGAAGCATGCCTAGGCGCGTTGGAGAATGCGTAGCACATCAGGTTGCATCCACACATTATTAAAGGTCAAAGGGCTTTAAAGCAGTGCAATCATTTTGAAATTTTTATCATTTACTCATTATGCTTCATTAAGTACTTATACAAAATTTTATTAAAATAAAACCATTTAAACTGGGTGTTCGGATTTATATGTCACTTAGTATAGTAATATAGTTTTGTTATTTCTACCCTTTCTTGAAATGAACAGGTCATTGTTAACTATTTATCACAACTAAATAGGTAACTTAACAATTTGAAATGGAAGACAAAGTTTTTTATGACATACGGTGACACTGTCTGATTTTTGTCGATTTTCCGTAATAAAAATAATTTTTTTTCGTAGATCTAAAAAGGGCGCAAGAAGCACCTAATGTTCTAAAAAAAATGTTTGTTGAACAAATCACTGATATGTATGATATAACAGTGTAGGATAGGTATTTCTTTAATTTTTTATTAGCAAAATTGCGCCGGTAAAATTCATATGAAAAAAGTCGTTTTTGAGATTAGGGGCCTCTAGGGGCGACCTACCCGTATCTATCTGATAATTTGGCTAAAGCGATTTTACACAATATAACCTTAATTTGGATTGATCCAGATTTGAATACCTTTGGGGGCAACTCTCATATGTAGTTTCGCCTATAGCCTTTAATGTCGCACTCGCAACGCGTATCAAAAGCATGAATAGAGACAATGAGCCGTATTCATAAGACAGAAGCATATCCTCGGTACCATAAGGTAAAAGTATGAGGTCTTGCTTCGGAGGATATCCTACAAGAAGAAGTAAAAGGTTGACTGGTATTTGTAACTTGAGCGACATGTCCTGACTTGTTCCAGCTTGTAGTTGACGTTTGAGTTCGTTCACTCAGCATCACTGACAGTTGTACTCCAGAGCTTACACAGACCGTTCCGTACTTTTACTGGATACAGTTTTTTTTATCAAATTAATAAGCATGTAATCCTCAACTGATCAGGAAACTATAGAAAATAATGGCAACGACCTGCAGTTCATCGCAGATGAAATTGCGATTGCTCCCATTATTTTGCAAAAATCACAAGTTCCAAAAATAAAAATGAGAAAGGACGATGCCTTGAAGAAGATGTTGATCTTGTTCAAAAGGCTTATAATTTATTTCTGCACCTGGAGTAGAATTTCTGGCATCAAAATATTGATAACAGAATCCCTTCAATCTGCATTTTTGTTGATTTAAAGAAAGCTTTCGACACAGTTAATCACAAATTATTATTAGAAGCATTGGAGAGAATTGGTTTCAGAGGAAACGCGTACTCACTGATCGAAAGTTATTTGTCAAATCGCCAACAATCTGTGCAGATATCAGGATCATTTAGTAAAGAAATGTATATTAAGTGTGGTGTCCCACAAGGAACTGTCTTAGGTCCGCTGTTATTCAATATATATTTAAATATTTTCCAAATTAATTGTGTTGGCAAAATAACTAGTTTTGCAATATTATATGAAGGCAATGACTGGTCTGATCTGAAAAATGTAATTGAAAATGATTTTATCAAAATTATTCGGTGGTTTAACAGTAGAAAATTAAGCATTAACTACTCTAAAACACATTTTTTACCATTTGGATCTTATGCTAGACATCTGCCAAATTACACAAATTTCTCCTTCAATATTAATGATCAGAAAATGCAAATTAATAAAGTGCCCAACATAAAATACCTTGGAGTGGTCTTGGATCCTCACTTACGATGGGACATCCATGTCAATTACATTTTAAAGAAAGTTAGATTTGTATCCTACAAAATTAAATACCTTGGGAATATATTGACAGAAAAATATCTTCGAACATTATACCATGCACTGATTGAGCCTCATCTCACATATGGTATATTAGCATGGGAAGCTGCATGTTCCTCACATATCTAAAATTTAGATGTTTTTCAAAAAAGTATTCTAAAAATGATATTTAAAAAACCGAAACTTTATCCCACTGAAAAATTATACGCAGATGTTCGAATGTATGATATAAGACAGCTTTATTTCTTACACAGTATCACTCACTACCATAAATTTGTAAACACCGACCAAAAAATTAAACATAATCATTATACCAGGTACAAAATTCGTGGCACAGTAGTTCCTCAACCGCATAAATCTATAATGTAGCGATCATATCTCTATTTAGCGCCTAAATTTTATGAAATTGTACCTAAAGACTTAAAAGATTTACGTTTCGGAAATTGTTTCAAAAGAAATTTAAAAAAGTGGCTACATTCTATATCTAGGACTGAAATTCATAAACTCATAAATACGAACATCAACTAAATACATAATCTACTGTAGCTAATTTTTGTCCTTTTTTGTCATTTGCATTCTACAGTTTCAACTTAAATTATTGGTCCATGTACAGGCGATGCCTTCTATTGGGGGGCCTGTTTTGATTTTATATTTATTTACTCATATTGTTTGTTATCTTTGTACATTGAGTGAATAAATATTATTATATGCTTCCTATGCCAAGTATAAGGTGAAGATTATGAATATCCTTTTAATTATATCACTGCTTTGAAGGATATGCTTATACTCAAAAAGCAAAAGCATTTGCTTCAAATTATAATAAATACCATCTGGAGGATTTCCTTCAATATTTGCAAGTACAAGGATATCCTTTATTTTATGAATACGGCTCATGATTATATTTTATATTGTTGGACTTTGTCCAGAAACTTCGCGGTTTGACCATTTCGTCATATACAGGGTGACTTTGAAGTTGAGTCATTAATTTTCAGATAAAGATTGTAGAAGAAAGATAAACCAAAATATGTGTGTAAAAATAAAAAAAATTTTTACCTTGTTTTATAAAGTATCCTCCCGACAAGTATTTCAGTGCGGACCTGTATTTGATCGTGAGGTCTTGGAGCACCGACATGCCTTCCCCTGTGAGGTCTTAAGTCACCTGATTCACGAGCCCGTTGTACTACATTAACAAAGGCACGAGGGGTTGGTTGCACTCGATTGGGAAACCGATCCGCATAAACATGTGCCATTTTTTATTTCGTTTGAGCCACGCAACAGACACCACTATTCATTCACGCGTTACCGACTGACACTGACTGAATACAACTGAATAAAATTGTAGTAAAAACATCGTGATAAGCGTTTCAAATTCTTCCGCTTTTTTGTTTCCGATGCGATGAACCGATAAGGCGGATTATATCCGTTGTTGCCAAACACGAGCACATAATATTATTATTGAGACAGGGCGGTACTCAAACTTCTAAAGGGCTATAACTTTGTTAGATTAATTTTACCAGAAAAATGTTAAAGGAAAAAAACATTTCTTTTGATCAGATCTACTCACTGTTAAAATAAATGACTCAACTTCGAAGTCACCCTGTATAACCGCACTCCGAACTTTAGGTACAAGATACGACAAAACTAATATACCAGATATCGTAAACAAAACAAAAAAAAAGTATTGGTAAGAGGGTATGGTTGTCTTAAAAACCACTTACAGGTATCGAAGCAGGTTTGTTGACGACGACAACATCCTCATCCAGGTGCACGATGGTGATCGGTTGACTTGTGACCGGTACCTCATGCCTACAACACACAGTTTAGTGCACTTCTTAGTACGTCCAATGTACGCAGAAATAGACTTGCTTTACGACCCTTACTCTCACACTCGTCTGTACATGATCCTGCTTGATAGGGCATCAGTCTACATTATGAGCCCTAACACAAAAATGTTCGGGCAATATCTAATCTATACAGGGTGTTCCTTAATGATATGCGAATATTTAAGGATGTGTTAATGTTAGTTTGCTTTATAAATTATGGTCCAAAATGTTTTCTTACAAAACTCGGGGTGTTGAAGTTTTAGGAAAAAAATGGAAATTAATTAATGTTGTATATAAGTTGCATATTTTTCAATGCAAAAATAATGTTTAGCCTTTACAGTGACGTACGTACGGGTATTTTTTGAGAAAAAAATGGCACGCCAATGGTTTTTTGCCAAATAAAAATTATCTTTGAATTCCCCGTTCAATTTAAAACAAATGATCTCTCTTGACTTGTTTTCCTTCGATGCGCCACTTTCGGGTAAAAAAATAAAAACCGTTCTATTGTCCGAGAAAATTAAGGTAATACAGCAGACGCTCGATAATGTAAACTAATTTAATCCAAGTGTGGTTCACATTATCGAAAGGTTTACATTAGCGAACGTGATTTATATAATATTTGATTTATGAAAAAAAAACGTTTAATACATACTATTTATAACAAAATAAACAAATATTCTAACAGCGATAAGTATTTTTTTAATTAGAAGAAAAATAATTAACAATTTTTGTCTGCGTAAATTTGCGCTTAGCATTGTCTTCCAATGCCTGCGCACGTAATTTACGAAGAACTAAAATATCCGTGTATGAAACTTCTTTTCTTTCAGCCCAATCTAAAGCTTGGTTAAAAACTTGTATAGCTTGCGCGTCAGTCACTACACTTCTGACTTCAATGGTATCGTTCTCATCATCCTCACTGTCCATATCCTCCTCCTTATCAGCATCATTCGTATGCTTATCTTCGTTCCATAAATTAATATCAGCAGGAGTACAAACAATGTTGGGATTCAGTTTTCAATAAATCAACAACATCCAATGACACACTAATAACATTATCATTATTGGATCGCAAACGTTCTCTAATTACGCTTAAGGGGACATCGTTTTCTTCATCATCTTCATTATTGGTACAAAAGAGATTGTTCCAACATTTTTGAATAGTTTGCTGGTTAAGTTCATTCCAGGCCATATGTAAATCTAAAACAGCTTCTCGTAATGTTACCTTTTTTAAAGCCTCAGATAAGTTTTCAGAATTTTTTGATAAGACAGACGAAAGTAGAAACTTCCTATAGTATAGGTTGGTGAGTCTTATTATACTCTGGTCCATCGGTTGAATTAACGGTGTTACGTTGGGCGGCATGTTCATGACGAAAATTGACCCATCCCTGCAATAGTAACAAGGCTTTTATTGGAAGCTTCTGTTGTTTTAGGAAACCTTTTACCTACAAATTGAAAACATATCTTCAAATTGTGAATAGAGCATTTGTGATAATTGATTGTCATACCTGAGGGACAAAGCACCTGTGGAACCATTTCAGGAATATACTACTAGTCATCCAAGCGGTTTATGAACAGTCATAATCAACAGGGATATTAACATTTTTAAATGAGCGCGGATTTTTTGCTTTCCCAATTACCAGTGGCTTTATTGTGTGTGAACCATTAGCATTAGTGCAGGCTAGAAGCGTTATTCGTTGTTTCTCCGGCTTTCTTCCTGGGGCAGATTTTTCAAATGATGCAGCATAGGTTTTCTCTGGTAACATTTTCCAATAAAGGCCACTTTCATCTGCGTTGTAAATTTGTTCCATTCTTAAATCTAGCTCGGTAATTGTTTTCATCAATTTTTCTTTGAATGGTTGCACTAATTGTGGTTGTGCTGATAATTTTTCACCAGATATAGACAGCAGTCGAATTCCATATCTTATTTTGAATCGTTGAGGCCAGCCATCACTAGCTACGAAATTTTCAGTTTCTTTCAGTTTTTCATTTAACAGTCTCGCTCTCTGTTTAAGTACTTCGCCACTAACTGGGACATGATTTTCCCGTTGTTTTAAAAACCACTTATACAGGGAATTTTCCACTTTAGGTGCCTTCGCATTTTTTAAAGTTTTTCTTTTTCCCGGACCTCCAAATGTATTGCACGTTCTTTGTAAAATTTGAGTTTTCATACGCTAAATGTTACAGATTGTTGCTTTCGATACTCCATATTTTTTTGCTAACTGTGTCACTCCCGCACCTAGTGGATCTACATGAAAAATTAATGTTAGTTTGCTTTATAAACTATGGTCCAATAATGTTCCTTTACAAAAACTCGGGGTGTTGAAGTTTTAGAAAAAAAAAATAATAGATATTAATTAATATTTTCAGAACCGCTTCAGATATTTCACTGATACTTAGTACGTAGTGAAAGTTAATGAAGTTATATATTTTTCAATTTTTTTAAGAAAAAATGGTACGCCAATGGTTTTTCGCCAAATAAAAATTATTTTTAAAATCCCCGTTCAATTTAAAACAAATGATCTTTCTTGAATTGTTTTCCTTCGATGCGCCATTTTTGAGTAAAAAAATAAAAACCGTTCTATTGTCTAACTTGCAAAATTATTATTAATTTAATTAGAAAAAATAAACACATTAGGGGTAATGAACAACAACAACTGACAACATAAACATAACATTAAAACCAACGAAATGATTCACTAGTATGCATGCTTCCTCCTTCATTCTCATGGAATTGTGCACTCGTTGAAATATACCTGGAATGTTTTTTATATCACAAGCTGCAACTATTCTTTCTCTTAATTCCTCTACAGTTTTAACGGGACTTGTGTACACTAGTGTTATAAGATAGCCCCACTAAAAGAAATCTAAACTGTTGAGGTCTGGGGACCTTGGTGGCCATTCTTGGGGCCCACCGCGCATAATCCAACGATTTGGATGAACAGTTTGTAAATAATTACGAATCGCTACACTGAAACGCGCTGGTCCACCACATATTGTTTCTTATTACTAACGGAACATCATCAAGCAGCAAAGGCAATTGTTGTTGAAGAAAATTGAGGTAAGCCTGTCCATCAAGTAGTCCCGGCAAGAAGAATGAACCAATAAAGAGGTTGCCAGTAATTCCTGCCCATACGTTAACCGAAAATTGGTGTTGGAAATGGGTTTCGGTTACTGTATATGGATTTTCTGAATATTGTGGAAATTCTGAATGGCATTTCGAGAAAAATTAGCTTCGGTCGTGAACAGAGTCATCGATTCAAATTGCGGATTTTGTGTAATTTTTTTAAAACGATTTATGATGTAGATTGTAGGGGACTCACCTCTGCGATAAAATACGACAAACTCGGTCAGTCGTATGATCGTTTAGGATACGTTTATACGTACGTATGTATTTCGTTTTTGAACTTAAGTGAATACATTGCACGCGTTAATATATTTTACGACTATGGCATCCACATCCTATAAAAGAAAGTGTTTAAAGTTGAGTGAGAAAGTGAAAATCATAGACGAAGTTGCACTAGGTGCGGGAGTGACACAGTTAGCAAAAAAATATGGAGTATCGAAAGCAACAATCTGTAAAATTAAGCGCATGAAAACTCAAATTTTACAAAGAACGTGCAATACATTTGGAGGTCCGGGAAAAAGAAAAACTTAAAAAAATGCGAAGGCACCTAAAATGGAAAATTCACTGTATAAGTGGTTTTTAAAACAACGGGAAAATCATGTCCCAGTTAGTGGCGAAGTACTTAAACAGAGAGCGACACTGTTAAATGAAAAACTGCTGTCTATATCTGGTGAAAAATTATCAGCACAACCACAATTAGTGCAACCATTCAAAGAAAAATTGATGAAAACAATTACCGAGCTAGATTTAAGAATGGAACAAATTTACAACGCAGATGAAAGTGGCCTTTATTGGAAAATGTTACCAGAGAAAACCTATGCTGCATCATTTGAAAAATCTGCCCCGGGAAGAAAGCCGGAGAAACAACGAATGACGTTTCTAGCCTGCACTAATGCTAATGGTTCACACACAATAAAGCCACTGGTAATTGGGAAAGCAAAAAATCCGCGCTCATTTAAAAATGTTACTATTCCTGTTGATTATGACTGTTCAAAAACCGCTTGGATGACTAGCAGTATATTCCTGAAATGGTTCCACAGGTGCTTTGTCCCTCAGGTATGACAATCAATCATCACAAATGCTCTATTCATAATTTGAAGATGTGTTTTCAATTTGTAGGTAAAAGGTTTCCTAAAACAACAGAAGCTTCCAATAAAAGCGTTGTTACTATTGGATAATGCACCAAGTCGTCTTCCCGGGCAACAACTGGGGAGCAGGGATGGGTCAATTTTCGTCATGTACATGCCACCCAACGTAACACCGTTAATTCAACCGATGGACCAGAATATAATAAGACTCACCAAACTATACTATAGGAAGGTTCTACTTTCGTCTGTCTTATCAAAGAATCCTGAAAACTTATCTGAGGCTTTAAAAAAAGTAACATTACGAGAAGCTGTTTTAGATTTACATATGGCCTGGAATGAACTTAACCAGCAAACTATTCAAAAATGTTGGAACAATCTCTTTTGTACCAGTAATGAAGATGATGAAGAAGACGATGTCCCCTTAAGCGTAATTAGACAACGATGGCGATCCAATAATGATAATGTTATTAGTGTGTCATTGGATGTTGTTGATTTATTGAAAACAGTGAATCCCAACATTGTACTCCTGCTGATATTAATTTATGGAGCGAAGATAAGCAGACGCATGATGCTGATAAGGAGGAGGATATGGACAGTGAGGATGATGAGAACGATCCCATTGAAGTCAGAAGTGTAGTGACTGACGCGCAAGCTATACAAGTTTTTAACCAAGCTTTAGATTGGGCTGAAAGAAAAGAAGTTTCATACACGGATATTTTAGTTGTTCGTAAATTACGGGCGCAGGCATTGGAAGACAATGCTAAGCGCAAA